CATGTTCCTGTAGTCTCAGCTACTTGAGAGGCTGAAGCAGGAGGATTGCCTGAGCCCAGGAGTTTGAGGCTGTGGTGTGCTGTGATCTCACCTATGAGTAGCCGTTGCACTGTAGCCTGGCCAATATAGCGAGACCCCATCTCAAGAAAAAAAAAATTAAATTTATCTCATCAAGAATTTTCAGCTTCTCTTCCATATTTGTCACTGAACCTCTCTAATTTGCAAATATGTTAAATATAAAACAAGTGGTTCTAGCCTCAGAAAAAAATATAATGGCACGGATTGAAGCTTAGCAGCCAACAAGCTTTCAGTATGCTTATCAGCTGCCTTATAGCATATTTATTAATGTCCTCTCAAGCATTTCCATACAAAATTAAAAGTGTTACCACCAGTGAGTTAGATTCAATATGAAATTATGTAAAATACGCTATCAGTTATAGGAACTTCAGGCTTTTCCCTCTTTAAGCAGTAGCTAGAATATCTAGATTTCAGTAAAAAGCAAGAAAGTTGGCCAGGCGCGGTGTCTCATGCCTGTAATCCTAGCACTTTGGGAGGCCAAGGCGGGCAGATCACTTGACGTCAGGAGTTCGAGACCAGCCTGGCCAACATAGTGAAACCATCTATACTAAAAACACAAAAATTAGCTGGGCATGGTGGCACCTGCCTGTAATCCCAGCTACTTGGGAGGTTGAGGCGAGAGAATCACTTGAGCCCGGGAGGTGGAGGTTGCAGTGAGCCAAGATTGCACCATTGCACTCTAACCTGAGGGACAAAAGCGAAACTCAAAAAAAAAAAAAAAGAAAAGAAATTCTTCATGTATCTTCTCTAACACTACCTGTGAATCCGTTTGGAACTCTGTAAGTAAAGAATGGCTATTTCAGTTTGGTCACTTAGTAATTACCTGTTCAAGTCAAAGGCTGAAAAAAGTTTAGGAACTAAAAAGCTTTCTGTCTACCCTTGGAAAGAGTATTTTCCATATAGATCTTCCGTTGATGGCGTCAATTAGAGCCAACACTCTTTCCTGGTGGTAAGCAGTGAAAATAGTCACTTGTCAGGCCAGGCGCGGTGGCTCACACCTGTAATCCCAGCACTTTGGGAGGCTGAGGTCGGTGGATCACCTGAGGTCAGGAGTTCAAGACCAACCTGGCCAACATGGTGAAACCCCATCTCTACTAAAAATACAAAAAAATTGCCAGGCATGGTGGTGGGCGCCTATAATCCCAGCTATTTGGGAGGATGAGGCAGCAGAGTCGCTTGAACCTGGGAGGCGGAGTTTGCAGTGAGCCGAGGTCGCGCCATTGCACTCCAACCTGGGCAACAAGAGCGAAACTCAGTCTCAAAAAAAAAAGAAAAAAAAATTTTTAAATGAATCTGTTCTCCAATGCTCTGTAGATCAGGGGTTCTATGAGTATAGTGGCTGGTCCTCAGATTGGTTAAAAAAAATAAGGCAATACTCACCTAGCTTTGTTAAGTTTAACAATATATACCCCAAGTCCTTACTGCAAGTCAGACACCATGCTGTGTGCTAAAACATTTATGTTTTCATTTAAATCTCCTAACACCCTATGCAATAGGTTATATTGTCTTTGCTTTAACTGCAGCTTGCAAATATTAGTAACTTCCTAAGGTCCAAAACTAGTGCAGAACTGGAATTTAAACCATTTTGGCCTCAAAACCAGTGTTCTTACCCCCTATTATATATAGATGAAATTTTAAAATTATAATTATATATAATTACATATAATCTCTATTTATTATTTACATATATTTTTAAAATTATTTTGTATTTTTATTTTTTTTAATTCATTTTTTGAGATGGAGTCTCACTCTGTAGCCCAAGCTGGAGTGCAATGGCACTATCTTGGCTCATTGCAACCTCCGCCTCCTGGGTTCAAGTGAGTCTCGTGCCTCAGCCTACCCCGATTAGCTGGGACTACAGGTGTATGCCACCACACCCGGCTAATTTTTTATTTTAGTAGAGACAGGGTTTCACCATGTTGTCCATTGTGGTCTTGAACTCCATTGCTCAGGCTATCCACCTACCTTGGCCTCCCAAAGTGTTGGCATTGCAGGCGTGACCCACTGTGCCCAGCCTCTTTACATATATATTTTATTTATTTATTTATTTATTTATTTATTTATTTTGAGGCAGAGTCTTGCTCTGTCACCCAGGCTGGAGTACAGTGGTGCTATCTTGGCTCGCTGCAACCTCCGCCTCCCAGGTTCAAGTGTTTCTTCGGCCTCAGCCTCCTGAGTAGCTGGGACTACAGGCACACGCTACCACACCCAGCTGATTTTTGTATTTTTAGTAGAGATAGGGTTTCACCATGCTGGCAAGGCTGGTCTCGAAATCCTGACCTTGTGATCCACTAACCTCAACCTCCCAAAGTGCTAGGATTACAGGCATGAGCCACAGTGCCTGGCCTATCTATATTTTTAAATGGTAGAGCTGATGACTGTGGGAGTAGATAGGGGTGGTAAATGGCAATGCTTGTATTATAAAGGTGGCCAAAGGGTTTAGAATCTCGACCCTGGCTTGAAAACTGTCCATGTGTACTTGTCTTTTTGGCAAGCCTTTGAATTCTTAAAAAGTTATTTATGTGATCTTCATAGTCAAATTTGTCTACAATCAGATTTCTTGAAAAATAATTATTTTGTAGGTGAAGTCAATATTTAGTTAAAATGTTAAATGTATCTGAGCACTAATAGAGATGGATCATTCTGTGATTTTTCTTGCCTTTGACAACAATGCAAACAAAAAGCACACAACAGAAAAGAATAGTGGTTGGATAATCCTTCGAATTATTAGTTTCTGGTCCCAGACTGTGCAAATGAATAGACATGAGTTATACAGAGTAGACTGAAGAAAATCAGGGTGACAAATGTTCAACTATTAGCTCTCAAAAAAACCACTGACTTTAGCCCAACATGAAAAGATCCAGATATATTTTGACAGAGCTTTTGCTCCCAGAGATTAAATAAAGTAAGATCCCGGGGCAAAGAGATGAGTGGGAGAGGAGGCAGAAATCACATGGGAGAGACACCCCAAGCCCTCACCAGAGCCTGCACAGCTGCTAGCCCAGATCCAGGGTACCGCTTAGAAGCTGAGGCAGAACTGAGTTGATCCTCTTGTTGTCATCCTGTGGGTTCACCAGTACATTCTTTGTCCAGTTTGAGGTGATTCTTGCCTGTGTTCCAAGAATCTTTTCATATTCCTTTGATTGACCATCTCTTAAAAATAATCCCCCATCTAACAGACAGGACACTCAAAAACACCGTTTTGCTCCTCTTTCTGCCCCCAAAATGGAGGGTAGAAAACTTAGACTCTTCATTGGTTAATGAAGGAAAAGGCCTGGACACTTTATGGGGTGATGGCTGGTGACAGCTGAAAGGGAAACTTTGTGTAAAACAAAGGAGGATTACTTGAAGTTAGTGCGAAATCATCCACTGAGCTGAGATAGCAGAGAAACACACTACTCCATTTCAGAGTGTGAAATGTCTTGTCACAGGCAGAGAATGTTAGAGCTGGAAGGGAACTTGAGAACATCGGCCCCACCCTTCCACATAGCAGAGGAAGCCCAGGAAGAAACAGATGTGGCCTGGAAAGGGGGCCTGACTTGCTTGAAGTCAAATAGCTGGTCATTTGGCTTTGTCAGAACCAGGAATAAAATGTCCTAGCAATTATCTCCACTGCCCAACACAGGCGAATCTGGCTTAGGAACTCTTTCTTTGGAAGTAGACTTTTCTCTGATCCTGCCTCAAGTCATAATAAGTTGAATGGAGAGTCCAGTTTCTATGTTCTTAGAAGTCCAAATTCAACACCTCACAGTGATGCCAAAGTTAAGTATTTGTGGAATTAAATTAGTTTATGGCATAAAATATAGTAAAGACAAGTTTTTAAATAGTTGTGGGAGAGCCATAACTGCTCATGGAAAATTTGTCTTTCATAGAGACTCTATGGGACTACACAAATTAGCCTACACATGCCTGAAACGGAGTGGCACCACGCACTTAATTTTGTTGAAGTCCAAGCTTCTTTCCCTATGATAAAAGAGGAAGTGACATTCTATACAGCTATGCCTGTGTTCTCCTCATTCTTCCAGGAATACTTTTGTCACTAGAATTGTACAGGTGAAGGAGGAGGGTGTCATCCTATTGCTCGGCATTTCTCATATAATCACTGTAGCTTATACTCCCCACAACAGTTTATCTCAGGATATTTCATGGCTTCACGCCATCCACCATTATTACACCAGAGAAACTCACCAGATTATATTTTCTGTATTCACTCTTCATAGGCTTCTGTTCCCTTGATAGATTTTTGTCTTAGAAACTTTTTTTCTTGAGAAACACTAATGTTTAGCACCACTTTATGTATGCAAGAGTGGATGTAGGTTTCTTTGTAGCAGATTTTAAAACTCTGGCATCCAGCCCTGGTGGTTTCTGGTGCAGAAACTGAGAGACCCTTTGGTGTTCTACCTGGAGGAGTGGCTGGCGGACGAGATCTTGGGTGAGTGACCCTAGGCCCAGACCAAGCTGTAATTCTAGAAATGGCGTGGATGCACCAAGCCCTGCTGGTGGTAGACATAGTGGGCTCCAAGAACCTAGTCGAAATCATGGTTTTTGGGTGGCTCCGTGTACAGAATCGGGTGAAGAGCATGCTCCTGTCCCTGGCATGGTTTCACCAAGGACACTGTGCCCGAGCTGAGAAGATAAAACACCTTGAGAAGAACTTGAATGCCCGTGCCTCAGGCCCTCACACTCCCCAGCATTCTATTGCTTAAGGCAACAGAACTATTGTCAGGAGCATTTTGAGAACTTTCTTGCTTTTGCTGCTAAGGTTGAAGAGAAGCAAGTGCAGCATTCCTAAATCCCTGCATTCCTTTTTCCTGTGTCTTGATGGATAGTGGTTTATTTTGTGGCAAGAGTGAGTTTGAAGAACTACTCTAATAGAGAAATGGCTCTTTTGCCCAATGGTATAATGATCTTTGCACACTTACAATAAAGCAAATTTATTTTTAAAAATTTTAAACTTCTCATAGAGAGGTATTGATGGAACATTCAATTAAAATCTTTGTTTATAGGACTCAGAGATAGCCAGATATTAAACAAATCAAAAAATGTTTCTCATGAATATCAAGTTGACTCTTGATTAACATTTTATACTCTTATTAACATTGTGTACATTGTTTCTATTCAACCAATTTCAGAACTTCATGAAAAAGTTGAGTGGTAGGTTGAGTAATGGGGTAACACAATGGGAGCCTTTTCTGCAAGGCTGGCATGTGAATAAAGTACCTGCAAATCATAAAAAGAAACAAAATAGAGAGCTTTAAAAACAAGAATTTTCACATTGGTCGCATGGGTACATTCACACTCACTGGCTAGGGTTGTTGGGTGTGGGAGTCTAAGCCACAAGACTTTGGTAGCATTTTCAGCCCTCCAATCTCCCTCATTTGTGACCTAGAAAATCTCTGACATGTGGACTGTCCTCACCACAGTATGAGCAGAGGCTCCTGCTTCTTGGTTTATCAGGCAATGCACAGTGAGGAGTTGAAATGAAAGGGTCGAGCTGTGGTGACTACTAGGGCCAAGTCAAGAAGGAAGAGTAGAGCTCATCCCCACGGCCTCAATAAAAGCCTAGGAATGGCCAGAGGAAGAGGCAAAAATGAGAAGGCCTTCAATCATCCCCTTGGATGACTTAAAAGAATGTGTCTCAACCCTGAGTGCACACTGGAATCACCTGGAGAGCTTTATCTTTAAAATCCCGTGGCCCTGGTACCACCCCAGACAAATGGAAACAGAATTTCTACATGTGACACCTGGT